CAGCCGCGCCGGGCCGCGCCTCCTGTGCTCGGCCTCCCGCGACGCCGTGCGCGTGTGGAGCCTCGCGGAGAGCGGGCAAGGTAGGCACCGTCCCCGGCACGCGCTGCGCCAAAGGATCTGTAACGTCACGATAACCGCAAGGTGCCGCGGTCCTCCGGGGGCGTCGATGTTGTGAGAGAGTCACGTACTCCGTCGCTGTTAAAAACTTCCCCTCCGCTGGCCGTAGCTGGAGGTTTACGTGGGACTTAACACATAACCTTTTGCCCTCTATCCGTGCTAAATTTGCAGACTTGCATATTATGAAAATGGATGCTGTTAAGAAACGTAAGCACGCCGAAGCCCCGCACTTACCTGGGACTTAACACATAACACATAAGCATTTTAAGTGGTTTTATAATTGGCATAATTGCATTTTAATCCACGTGTATATAGCTGAGAGAATCGAAGAATGATTCAGGGAGTAGGCATGAAATCAGGCTATGATTCTGTGGGAAAAATAGAAATGACCAAAAAATAGAAACAAAATAGACATGTAGAGTTGTAATACATTGATGTCTGAGAGCCTGATTCCATACTGCTGAATTTCCTTCTTTCCCTTTCTCTGCGTAGCCACAAACTCTTTGGTAGATGGCCTATTATTTCTCTGTAAGAAGAGGGATGAGGTGATTGCTTGATTTTTTGAATGCATGTAATGAATAACTTATAGGAATAAGCTTTGTATCTTTCCAATTTCCTCCAATATGACCAAACAGGTGATGTGTTCTGTTTTGACACTACTGTATTAAACTCCAGTTAGTGCTGGAGTGCTCAAAATTCTTTCTGGAAATTTTGGATAAATTAATTTGTTTCAAAGATTCTCTGGAAAATTCATCTTTCTAATGAGAAATTAATTACGTTAAATTTGAAGATAAGAAGAGATCATTAGTGTGTGAAGCAAAAAGAATAGGTTTATTTTATAGTAAAAGATGAGCTGCTCTAATAGTCTTTCAGGAACTAAATTTGTAAATTGGCTTTTCATTTGAAAGCTGTTACAGTGTCTGAAGTAATATTTTTGTTGAGTGATAATAACATAAAAATTGCTGCAGGGTTAACGCCTCGAGGAATTGTTATAGGAACTTTTTTGGGAATGGTGCTTCATGTGAGATTTAGTCCAGATGATCAGCAAGTGGCAGTATGCACTGAAAAGCGGATTTACATGCTAAGTGCGAAGGTAAGATGTAGTCCTTTGTATTTACAGTGCTAGTATATCTTTAACTTCTTCACTTTCAGATAAGTTTGTGAGATAGAAATAATTAAGCATAATTTTCTCATACAGATGAAAGAGAGTTTGAACAAATGCTTGATAATGTAACATAGATACAGGACTTGATTAAAAAATTGAAGTGGTAAAATATCTCAGTAAGGTAAGTAGAGAACATTGTGAGGACATATGAAAAATTTCTCCTCTGCTGGGTAATATATGTAGTGTTTTTGCGAGCAGAATGATGTTCAGGACTGCAGCTGGCTTTAAAAAGTGTTATTGGATGCATATGATGAACCCAAATGCAAATTTATTTTTAAAAATATATATCGATTATTAAAAAGATGAACTAATGGTCACCGTTAGCTTGAATTCTGATCTGTTTTTGTTTTGGCCCTTCAAATAACAGAATAATGCTGTACTAGCTGAACTGGAAGGCCACCTAGCTCCGGTTACTGCTGCTGAGTTCTGCACATGGGAGAAAAATACACTGATATCGATTTCTGAGGACAGAAGCTTTAAGGCAAGGAAATTGTAGAGGGGCTCTTTTAAAACACAGAACTTAGTTCAATCTTGAAGTAAGGTTTGCTTTATTCCCTTTATGTATCTATTGAAAGTTAAGCAAAAAGATCTTTATAGAGATTAGGAGATTGTTCTAATTGGAGTTGAGAAAGGATATATTCTTAATAGAACAGGAAAAAAGACTGAGTGAACCATAGTGTGTCTTCCAGGTGATACTGCAGTACAACATTTGGTTCTACAATCTAAAGTAAAACTCAAGTTTGCTATACCAAAATTAAACATATTTTTAGATACAAATTTAATGGTAGTCTTTGTCCTGGAATAATGTTGCTTTGATTTTTTTTTTTTTTTGATCTTGGACAAAAACTGAGAAAATTGAATCGGAATTCAATGGAGTATTAATTCTGACTTTCTGATTGATTGTTTATGTTGTTTAGTTTATGTCGATCATAGAAATTAAACCAAGGTAAAAATGTCTGAAGGAAAAGGTACATATGCTTTTTCTTATTAATTTGAAGAGCTGATGAATTATACAAAATTCTAATGAGTAAGATTTCTTTTTTGTCAAGGCAAAAAATCGGCATAAAATTGTGATCAAATGAAAATAAGAGTCAGTCAAATAATGTAGCAAATGAGTCTTCATCATTTCTTTGCCCTGTCTTACTCACCCATGCTGTCGTCATGCTAGCTGGCTGCCCTGATTAGATGTAGCCTCTAAAAATGCCTGTACTATCCCCAGCACTTTTACTAGGCTAAAAGTAGTGAAGCAGGATAAAAATATCTTAGGAAATAGCTGCTTTGGAGAAAGATTTTTCACATTCAGAAGCAAATGAACTATGAACTAGGAGAAAAGCTCAAATGCTGTACAGAGACTCACAACCATGTTAAGAGAGAAGGGACTATCTGGCTGTCTTTCTTTCAACCCATGCTGGATAGCTTTGGTGTATGTAGTGGAAAAAAATGTGGAATATAAGGCTTTTAGAAGGGGCAGCATGAGAGGAAATGAATTTTTATTAGCTTTGTAAATCAATTATTAAGCACAGGATAAGTCACTTAGAAACAGTGATGTCAATGATAAAAGTTGATGGATGCATGAATCTATAGATCAAAATAAGTGTCATAATTACTAATAAAGACCTCTTGTTTCTGGGTCCAGAATGAAAATTGTGAAGTCACGCAAGCTCCCTGTGTGAAATCCAGAACTAGTTTAAATGTCTTTATATTGATTTAGCTTAAATCACTAAGAGGTCATCCTAAGCAAAGATGATAAAATGTATTTCTAACTACTTTGTTTATTAATACCAGGTGGGTATCACCCATAATTTAAGCAATGTCCTATTTAGAAGAAGAGTGAAAAAGAATGAAAAAAATCCATAAAATCTATATGCTACTACTTTACTCTTAATGGTCAGATTTTGGTCTTTGCTGCTTGATTTTGTTTGTAATTTTTCCTGAAGATCTACTAAGTGCCTGTCATTACATACTTTTTTTTTTTTTCCCCTCCCTCCCCCTCTCTCTAAAGATTTGGGACTATTCTGCTGGGCTGTTAATATATCAATCAGCAGTATTAACAGGTAAGTTTTCTTTCTTTACTTTTTCATAGAAAAAAATCTCTCTAAACAGTAAAATAAAATTATTATAAAAGTATTTAGCCAATATGAGGCATCAATGTTCAAGCTATCAAAATTGAATGTGTACTTGTGTAAACAGTTACAATGTACTTTCATAAACAGCTTTTCTTTTGCTACAGGATATGCATATAACTTGTTGACTTTTATTGAGATATGCAGAAAGGAGCTCTTTTTGTATGTAGCTAGCATTCTACTCTCTGAGCACTCTGTGCTTCTTTTCTTTCATTTTTTTTTTCTATGACGTGGAAGGACAAACCATAAGTGTAACATACATAGGCGTATGAGCAAGTCTGTAGATGATGATGGAAATTGCCTCTGGTTTTGAAACAAGAGAAAAACACTGCGATAGCATCTCTGAAAACCACTTCCATGGCAATTTAGGCAAAAGTCACCGAATTGCAACTGAAAGGCCTTTGGCCATGCAAAAGCTAAAGCAGTGAAATAGGATGTTGCAGTTTGGAATTGTGTGTTTTAATAAAACATGATTTATGTCTGCTCTGAAAATAATTGCATCTTTCTCGAAGCAGCATTTCCTTTGTTAAGTCTGCTAATTGATGAAGAAAATAAACAGATTGTCACTGGATGTGCTGATGGACAGGTAAGAATTATCAAGGAAACTTGCTCTATTAAAAGAGTCAAGTTGTCAAGTTACTGTTTTACTGTCAACTGTTACAACGATTATTTTGGTAAGCATGATTCATTACTTTTAGTATTAATCACATATGATGCACAAGTCTGCCTTTCATACAAATTATAAACTGTTTTGATCAAGGAAGGAAACCCATGACAGTGAATGGTGAAGATTATGATTTCTCCATGCTGGAAATCTTAGCAATCCATGATAAATATAAATATGAATTTCAGCTCCTCCTTAATTTTAACTTTGGAATTATATCTAAATAATTTTTTCCTATAGTATTTAATGAGCATTTTTCTTCAGTGTTATAGTTTAATGGGTTGTGAAGAAAATTGAAGATTTAACTATAATAATACCCTAAAAAAGGTATAAATTAATGTATATTAGTAAGTGTTTATTTGCAAGTTGCCAGTGATTTTCTGATATAGCAAGTAGCCTATGAGCATCTTTTTTTCAAAAACACAAATGTGAAAATTGGGCAATTCTAATCTAATGTTATCAATTACGCAGTTCAAATTGATAATAGCTTCCTTTTCCAATGGTGAAATTATCCTTTGATGCTCTTAAAATATAAGTACATATAATTAAACCTGTGGTGCAATATGAGATTCTAGATATAAGCATTCCTTAGGTACAAGGATATTTAATACCACATCTTGAGTTTATATTCATCTTGTATGTAAATGGTATGTTTGTATGTTTGATGTCAAAAGAGTGTTGTAATTATTTCTGTCTTTTCTTTCAGCTTTGGATATTCAGTTTAATCGGTGATCATAATTACCGTTGTGTGACATGTATCAACTTAAAGAAAGAACAAGAGAAATTCTATAATAAAATGGGGCAATTTGGACAGAAATTAGGTAGGATAGTGCTTGTAGAATGTTGTTTATAGTATATGTTTACTTGATGCAGGTTACTGAATCTGTGTTTTTCATATCATGAGAATTTGTTGTGACAAATCTCAGTTTGTGGCATTGAATTCTTACTGAAGCTGATATAAAGCTGATGTGTAAATTGGTTTATCTGGGAAGAATTATGCATGTGTGCCATTAAGAACATCTGAGCCTATCATGCACTTATAAAACATTGGATGTCAGCCATCAAGTTTATGGTCTTTATTGAAACCATTGCCCAAGAATCATTGGATGTCAGCCATCAAGTTTATGGCTGACAGTCAATGAGAACAGAATTGGTCCCCCACAAATCTATCCCTTGCCTAAGTGGAATGCACATTTCTTAGTTAATTTTGAAACTCCTAGGAGTCTGTTGATTTTGTTACATACTTTACCTCCAGGTCCTCTTAGAGGCAAACAAGAGAGCTTGCTTTCTTTAGAGAAGATCTGGTTTCCCTTGGTTTCTCTTTTTCTGGGCTCATGACTGTTGTATTCTTAGCTGCACAGTGTCCCAGCTACAATAGGATAAAGAGAAAATCTACTACATACCTGGTTATTTATTAAAATATGGCTGTGACTTTCACTTTGGATTTTTAAAAGACATGATGTCTCTGTCTAATGCTTAATTCGATGCTAATGGTGCTTCCTAGACGTGAATTGGGCATGCGTAGTGGATTAGAAATTTCTAGGGAATGTAAGGATGAGATACCTTTGCATCTTGGCTTTGGTTTATGTTGCGACTTAAACATCAGGGCTCTTTTCAGACTAAACAAGAAGATGGATGTGAAATTTATGGCTTATAGGAATATGGCTTTCTAAGTCACTTGGGTGTATAAACACCTAAATTCTGCCATTTTTTTTTAAGTCTCTCTCTAGGTTTTATTTTTAGGTATTTGAAAGAAGGCAGTACTAAAAAGAACAAAATAATGAGGAAAAGTATTTCATGCTGGCTGTTAGCATATCCCCAACTTTTGAAGCAGGGATCTTGAATGTAATGTTTCTTCAAACTACTTTTGAATATTACTTTGAAATCTTGTTTCCCCTATTTAATTATATTTTTGATAAATCCTGTTGTTGATCATCTTTCATAGATGAGGGGCAAAGTACTTCTCAGCTGTATAAAGCAAACAGTATGAGACGAGAAGAAACAGTGGAAACAACATTGCCGGTTCTCACAATTGAACACTGTGACAGTTCAATATTTTTCCATAAAGAAGAAAACTTGTAAGTCCTCTAAAATACCACCAACGGTTTGACTGGAATCTATTCTTACCAATTCCTCTCAATTCTTAGATTATTTTCACTGCAGTTCACTATATTCTCAGAATGCAATAGAATCAGAGAAATGTGTTCAGTGTTCTGCAAGTTTTTGTGACCTACTCTTAGATGATATATGCAAACCGATAGAAAGTTAAAATTGGCTTCTAGTCTGAAAAGTAATTTTATAAAATAGCATTGGAGTATCCATTTATTAGTATCTTTTGATATCAGGTGGTTGAGTGTAGTCAGTTTAAAAATAAAAATAAAGCCAGTTAGAGTTGAAAAGCTGAATTTTTTTTAAGTTTGTTTTCCTAAGGAAACAAATCTGATGTAGTAATTGTGTGTAAGCACCACTTTGTGCTCCAGACTTAGAAAACTTTTAACTTGATAGCCAAATTTGTTCTAGCCAAACTGTTGGAGACACAGGTGTTTCAAAGGTGTGAAGTTTCTACTACTCCTCGTGGGACTGGATGGCCAGGGAGAGATACCTAAATTAGTCTATGTATCACTGCCCTTTCTGAAAGGGTAATTCAACCGTTTAACTAGGAATCTGCATAAGATACAGCAGCAAGAGCCGAGTCTCACAAAACAATTGATTTTTGTTTTGTTATTTGTAATTACACCTCAGCCAAATCATGTATTAGGAAACACTTTTTCCACTCTTTGCTCTCCTGTGGGTTGTACAGGTATAACTGGCTAATTCTATAGTTAGACTTTTTTGAGTAAACAAGAAAGGGATATCCAGCTGTCCTGGATCGTTTTGTTTGCTCCTGTGGTTTACTGAAGTAATTATTAGCAGCATGAATTATTTTCATGCTGCCTGCATTTTCAGGAGGAATATCAGTGAGAGAAAGAAAAAAGTGCTTTAAGATGTACATCACAGGCACACTTTAGTGAATTTGAGACCTCCAAGGCCAGAAGAGTTACAGTCATTCTGGTTGCTTGTTTAATACCACTCACAGAGTTTTGTGTGATAGTTTTTGCTTTGAACTACATGTTTAAAAATTCTTACTATACAAAACCCATTTTTGTTTTGGTTTGTTATTTTTGTGGTATTGGAGTTAGACTGCAGATATTTAAATAAATTGGTTGCTAGGAAATAATATATATAGTAATGAAATGAAATCAAATACTTTTTCTAACTTTTTTTGTCCTAGATTTCCTGCACTAAATACTACGTATTTATGCATAGGAAGCTCTTCTGGCTTGTTAATAGTTAATTCAGCAAACTTTGAATTAGAAGCATTTTTATGTTACAAAGGTAGGTCATAATATACCTAGCTACAGTATAGAAGATTATTTTTCTTTGTTATCTGATATCGGTAGTGTAATATTTAGTTTCTTAAATAGTAGACTACTGTTTGAATAAAACCTTTTCTCTTTTTTATTTTTATATATATTTTCATGTTTTCTGGCATTAGTAACTTGTCTCAGAAGATGAGCCAACTCTAGATTTCTCTACTGGCTAGTAATTAATTTTTATCTGATTTTGTAACTTACAAATATTAAATACAGGGACTGGTATTCTAGTTTTGCTTTACTATGGGGGTTAATTGAGAAGGATGTGCATTGAAGACAGTGGAATAATGATGGTTTCAAATTATTGAGAATTTTTTTGTTGTTGGTTAGTGGTAGCACTTTTGCGATGTCAATACACTGCTACAGCATTATACTCTTTTTTATTAAAGATTACAGTGGCCTCAGTATTCAATTTGCTGGATTGTGTGCCCTAACAAAGAAGGCAGTTAATGGAAAGGTGCGTCTGCAATTTATATATTAATATAATGAATGTTTAAATTTTCAATTATTTTCAGTGAGTATTAATTCATACATATTTTGTTTACAAAGTAGCATATACATTTGTTTTGCCTCGTGAATTCCACAAAAGTTTTTCTGGAGAGGGTTGATTCTGCTTTAAGAAGCATGCTGGTTTTTACAAATGTGTAGTTTTAAATGTCTTAACTTATCTATTATCAGATGTGATTACCAATAAAAAGATTAATTGCTGTTCATTGTGGTGGAGTGCTAGGAACAACCAGTGCGGGAACAGAATCGCTCTTGCAGGGGGGAGAAAGAGATGGTATAAACATTGTTTTAATTTGCTTATTAAGCAAGGATCAGGACGAACGGTTTCTGGATCTTTTCAAGAAATCTGTGAAAGCTTTTTGAGTTGTGAGAATTTCTGTTGAAATTGTGTTAGGTGTGCAAGTCCATTAAGAAATGTGCTTAAAAAGCACAAGCATATCCACTTTTTACTGTTTAATACTCTACAGTATTAAACTGGGAGATATTTTGATATTTTTTAGTAGTTTCCATAGATGACACACAGTGATTTCATTGTCCTAATGCTTTCCTGCTGCTTGAACTTGATTTTGAAGTGAGAGGAGTGTTGTCCTGTGCTGCGATTGCTGCAGGTTTTATGCTTGATCTCTTCAATGTTTGAGGATATGATTGCAGTGTTGGAGGTTAATATTGCTGAATTGGTGAGATCTCAGCAGAATGGTTTTCTCATATGTGGAAAAGAGAAGACTCTCTCAGTTATTGCCAGGTACAGAATAATTTAATTTTATTTTTTTCTGAGAGTGGGATAATGTATTTCAGTGTGAGGAAGACAAATGCATCAGATGGTTTTGTATAGCTATATTTATTGATATGCTTTTGTTTCATTTGTTCTATTGTTACTGAAAAATATTTCAGTTGCATTGTTTGGGAGAAATCTTGAGGTAACTGAAAGACTTAAAATCTATAGCAAACGAAAGATATCACTGTGCATAATGCAGTCATCAGTCAATATTCAGAGAAGCAGGATTTTAACCTGTAATTACAGTGATCAATGAATCTTGTCTGAGCAGAGGCTTCTCTGTGCCCTTGAGTTGATAAACTGTGCCTCTCTTATATTCATGAAAGCATGCAGACACACATATGTACATGCTCAGTCATGCACACAAGTAACTAGAAAAGAAATTAGGAGGACCACTTTTTCTAATCTGAAGCTTTGTTCCTTTGCAGTGTTTCTCGTTTGGTTGTTTTCTTTGTTGTTGTTTTTTGTTTTGTTTTTTCTTCATTTTATACTTAGGTCTCCTTTGTTGCCAAAATCTCCCCTGCATAAGGGTTTTAAAGTCAAGGAACCTTCTAGTAAAACACTTGGTAAGCATAAAACAATATATACTTTTAATAACAGTAACTGACTCACAACTGGCTCATGCCACCTCTGGCCAAGATGCTGGTTGTGGAGTCAAATTATGTGTTGCATTTTTTTTTTTATTTTTATAAGTTTATTAACTTATGTTTTTAAGCATTTGAGCTCATTAACCAAATTTATCAAAGATCACATAATACTTTACTATGTCTTTCTGTGCTGACCTGTAACTGTGTATTGCTCACTTAGGCTGGTTGTGGAGAAGTTTTATGATGATGTGTCACCAAACACTGGCTTGATGATGAAAGACAAACAAAAGGAATTTTAAGATTTACTTTTGGAAATTTTTTCCAGAGAGGTGGCAATTAAGCATTTTACACCAAATATTCCCTGCCAGATTTATTTCTAAGGTTGCAGTGAAGAAATAGCTATCATTGTGTTTAATGAGTGCCATAGAACATGTAGAACTAACATATAAACATGTTACTTTTAATCAGGAATTTACCATATGCTTCATAATTTGCCCCCTAGATAGCTGCTATGCAAAACAGCAGTTCATATTTCTTTTCTCATTAATCATTGTTTTAGAGTAGTTGGTCTTTAATGCCTTTTGAAACACTAGGAGACAGCAACTATTATACTAGTTTATCATAATTCGCAAAATTTAAAAAAAGAAAACACTATCATGAAAATTAAATTATTTTGCTACAGGAGTGAAAAGCACAGTGAAAGACCAACCACTGGTTTTCCATAGGAAAATTAAGTCATCAGGTTATGCAACAGCACCACGGTGAGTAGATACGTACTAATGTAACTGTTCCAGTGGTATCAGTACTATACAGTATTTCCTTTCTTATCACATAATAGAGGTATGCAGTATTGCCACTTTTAAATGAATGACCCATGAAAAAATAGACATGGTGTTATGAAACAAAATCTGTTAAATATGTTGAAAAAAATTCTATGATTTCTCATGGGTATCAATGTTCTGTTACTTCCATCTTGAAAATTCCTATGTACATTTGCACTGCGTCTCTGCCCAAGCACTTTGTCACTTGTACCAATTAACTTTTTCCCTTGTTCTATCTATGCTCAAATTGTCACAGATAGGAGTATGCCTTTTATTTTCTTTCAGACAGCAACTGAGAGGGGGCATGTTAGAATACTCAGCTATATAAATTCTCTTATTTATTGGTGTGGTCTTACCTTTGATGTAAGCTTTCTGTAGCTTTACCTGTCTTCCTTGAGAGCTTGACAAAGTTTCTCTTGGATGGAGAGCTCATTCAGATGAAATGAGCAGTGTGTTGCCAATAATCCTCAGAGGAGCTCCAGGTGGTTCCTCGACACGGCATTTTATTTTTAGTAAAGACTGTCATAGACAATATCATCTTTGTGTATTGTATTTAGTACATTTTCGTGTACTGCATGTATTGCATCATAAATAGAATGATGCAAACTATGTATGAGAATTTACCCTTTAACTTTTGATGAAGGTGAGTGTTGGAACTGAGACCTCAAGAACCAGTTCTTACCTACCAGTAATACACTTCCTGAATACCTTTAAAGTGATCTGATGAAAGGGTTACTTACATGTATGTTTTGAGATGGCTAGTGGAGGCTGTGTTTTTTATATTCTGAGAACAACCTTTTAAGACTGGGACATCTCAAATTAGATTTAAACATTTTGAAGCTATGAACCATTTATCCCCGGGGCACATACATCTTAAATGTGTTGGATGTGTTCCTGATTCTGAGAAGAGACAGAACTTCTCTCCAGTTCTTCTATTCCTAAAAGTCTTGGGTGAGATAAGATACACCTGAGCACTGAACTCCCTTAGGTCAAAAAAGGTCCTCACCCCTTATACTGATGTAGAGAGTTCCTTGTTTTCACAAAGCCAGGAGATAAACTTTCCTTAAGAACATGACTGATATGTTTCATGAGCAAAAAAATCAAAGTTAAAATCAAAGAAACTGAGTCTCATTTAAGGACACTTATGAACTTCCATTCTTCTCTGCTGCGTCTTGCTTGTTGTTTTAACTGTTGGATTAATAATACATTGACTGTGTATTGTCTTACCTGCTAACATTGATAGTAAATATAAATATTAAGAAGCAAGTAGGATTGTTCCCTTTGAGATAAAATACTCCTCTCATGAGACATTTAGTGTTTTACATAGGGGGTTCTATGTTCCTTTTTTTTTCAGAATGACCATGTTTTCTCCAATTACTAACCTGAAGAAAAGTGATGACATATCAAAGTGGAAGACCAGCTGTAAATGGTAGATAATCCAGAAGAAAAAAATACAATGAGGATAAGTACAGTCTTACAGTAAATAGGATTAGTATTTGCCTGTCTTATTGCAACTTTTTACTCAGAAGTATCACAGGAGAGAAGAAAGACCATGTGGATTTGCTATAAAATAACTGCAGCCAATGATTCAGATCATCAAACTATCAATTAAAGTTGATTATGTGTATACAAGAAAATATTAATTTTGTTAATTTCTGTTAGAGCTCTGTGTAATTTTTAGAAGCAGTAAAGGCTAAATATGGTTGGAACATATTCTCAAAATATAGTTAGCATGTAATTTTAGTCTCAAGAATTAACAGGGCACAGAAAGGCTTCATAATTTAAGATCCTGTTCCTAAATCCCTAAAATCATGCATCTTAAGCTAATGCAACATTTCTGTAGATGATAAACACAGTATACAAAATAGGTCTGTTCCACCAGTGGACTCATTATCACTGAAGAGACAAGGAACTAATGATTTTCAAGAGTGGGCACTTTCATGTTATTTGGTTAAAGTATGTTATACTACGCTAAAGAGTGTAGTATACCCATTTTTTTCTCGAGTACTATGTAGAGTTTTTGTTCTGTGTAGTGCAAACATAAAAATAATGATTAATGCCATTATATTTCACGTATATATAAAAGTGTTTCTAAAACACTTAATAGCGTAAGGCTAAGTTCTTGTGCAAGAACTGTTCTGGGCATATTGGCAAACACTTAGAAGAATGCTGCAGATGATTTCAAGAATGGTTTACGCTGCATTGTGTTGGGTTAAGCAACTTATCACTTAAGTACTATACTTAGTAGCTTGTTAGATGATCAGTGTTATTCATGTTTTTACATGAGGAGATATTTTTCATATTGTTTGTCACATAAGATAGACTTTGTATTCTTTAAATGTGCTACTTAAGATATTTGCCTTTCTGTAAAAATCTATATTCATTCATGATTTAATGAATTTGTAATGGTGATGGGAGTAATTAAGTATGGCAGTTTTTAAATAATTTGCCACTTATCTTGGATTTAGCATATATTTTCAAGGAAAACTTACACAAAACTACTTAGAATAGCTTCCCAAACAACATTTATTTCATAGTTCATTTCATGATTTTAGTTCTCTTACAATTTTTCCTTTTTCTCTGTTTTTCTTCTTTGAAGCAAAAATAAAGAATATCCATTGGAAGGTTCTCCTCCAACCAAATATGGGAGAGAAATATCTGTTGCTTCTAAGCCAACCCCAATTTGTTGTATTCAGTATTCTGGTATGTAGAGTAAGATGTACTGTTTTCTGTGTACAGAAAAAAATCATATGAGAGGATTTAGTTAGGCCACATACTTACTAGGTAAATTCCCACTAAATTCTCTAGTAAAACCATCTACAGTCTGATGATGATTTTTCAACTTGCAAAACCATGCAGGCTGCTAACTCATATGCAAAAGGGTTCTGATGTTGTCTCTTTTGCTTTTTGACCAACCTTAATATTTTCCCAGCACATCTTGAAAATTAATAGTCTAACAACTTCAAACTTTAGTTTACAAACTAAGAAAGCTTATTAGTGTCATCAAGATTAGTAAAAGCTGAAGCTCTTTTTCAGAAGAACCAGAGCATTCGAATATTCCTGTTTCTCATATAAAGATTATTCAGTCTTTATCTATTAAATCTAAATCTAAAACTTATGTTGATATACACTCTACATAGCATGATATTTTCCAAATGTCTGAAAATGTGGTTCCCTAATTATTTTGAGGAAGAGTAGCTTTCATCTTCAAGAAATAAAATGAAAATGATTCCAAGCTTTTCCAAAGTATTTTCTAGCTGTAAAATTTCCCTGTAGACCTGGAAGATATTTCTTTCGTGAACTTTAAAAAAAAAAAAAAAAAAAACCCGCAGTTACAGAAAGTAAATTGCTAGGAGTGTTATGTGACCTTAAAAATTCTTTTTAGCAAAAAAGCAGCACTGTTTTTTTTTGATCATATGTTTTAAGCATAATTTTTTCTCACTTGTTCTGAGGAAAGTGTGTTTCATTCTCTTTTACTGTCCTCCAAGAGATTTAAACAACCTCAGTTTATCAAAATGAAGTTAAAGTTCATTTTCTTTAAGTAAAAAATCATATTGTTGCAAATTCAAATAAATGTTGTTATTGTAGTGTGTGTTGCCAAGTGGTTCCGAGCTTTACATAACTCCTGTTGTAAATTTTTCACTTGAAATTAAGCATTGTCAAGTCATCTTTGTAAACTACAAATCAGAATAATGTCTATGTGCATCTTTAAACATAGTGGAAAGAAAACTAAATAGAAAGCTTAGGCAAATGAGATGGTAAAGTTGCACTACAGAAATAATACAAATCCTTTTGGACTTAAAAACTATCCTGTTGAAGTAATGTAAGTGTTATGATGTATGACTTGTTGCTCTCTAGAAAACAAAGTTTCCCTAAGGATTTGAGATAATAGTCCATTAAGTAAACCTCCCAAATGATAAGTGATTTTTCTCACATTTGCTTTGCACAAGAAGGTTTATGTACTTTACTTATGTGTGTGGTCACTTACCTGTTACGTTTACTAATAAGGCCTCATGCACAGCTGACAAGAAATTAATCTTCTTTATGAGAATATCCAGAATAATTAATATGTGCCTTTATTCTGATACATATGAAAATATATTGTATTTTTAACAGTAAAATTTACAGAAATTGATGAAAAGCAGGAAGTAGATTCATATGGGTGCCGAATATTTCTGCATTTCAATTTTTCAGTAACTTTTTGTAAAAACTGAATTTCTGCCTAGTGCTGAGTAGCTGTGAGAATATGTTAAGGGAAGAAGAAAAGTGCTGATTATAGATTCCTGCAAAGCTTTGGAACACAAGTTGTTAAATGAAATGAACATCTTGGTGTATTTTGTTGTAGTGACATGCAACTTTTACGATTTAGAGAAACAACATACTAGATGCTTTTTGATTTCAAACATAAATAAGGATGGTCTCCTTATAGGGGATGGAGAGCTCCTGGCTTGTGGCCTTGCTGACAAATCTGTGTTGGTATTTGATTCCAACCTTACTGATACAAGAGCTGTTTTTTCAGGTAAATTTATAAATTACATTTTTAAATAATAGTGTATAATTATGAGCTTAATCTCAAATGAGGTATTAAGGAAAAATTCCACTTATGTCACCTTGGAAAGAAATGATTATTGTTCTTTTTTAGGATGTCAAAGTTACTTCTCTGATTGGTTCGCTTTGTTCTAGATTTAAAATTCTTTCCAGTTTTCCATTTTTCTCAGTTTCCTCAGTGATATATGATAGTAATGTATCACAAAGTATATTGCAATATGCATTGTTTTTGTGTATAATACAAAAATTAAATATATAATTGAAATATTTTTCCTTTATAATTCAATGTGTGTTAAATTAATACATTGTAATAGATGATTAGCCAAAAAATTGACAATAGAATTGGTTAATAGTGCATTTAGGTTAGAGCTTCAGGCTTCTGAAGAATAATTATTTGACATAAAAGGGACTATTCCCATAGAAATAGGAACAGAAAAGTGTACAGAAATAGAAAGACGCTAAAAGTTTTAACATTATAAATTAACCTGTTTGTCTTGTAGAAATTCAGAACTATTTTTTTTTTTTTTTTTTACAATCTAGGGTATTGTAAATAGCAGTCAATGTTATGACTTACAAAAAGTTATATAGCAGGATTGATTTACTGTATTTTAATGCAAATGACTGCTGTTTATGAATAGACCTTACCAAATACAAAAAGAATTTACAACTATTTGAAAAAATATTTCTAAGCAAAATTCTAAAAGCTGATTTCTGAAAAATTATTTTTCACAGAGTAATTTTCATTGTACTGTAATTCTTTACATCCGCATCTACCATTGCGTATGACAGTTCTGTATGAGAAAGTCATGTCTCTCACACTGTATTGTTAATGGACTTCTCAAGTCTACAGCAGCCAGTTATGGAAAGCCATGTTGTAGTTCAAATTAAGTCCATCAGTCTACAAATTCCACAACATACGAAATTTAATTTCTCTAACAATTAAGTTCTTTAGCATAAGAAATTGCATCGATGTAACTAGTCAGCTTGGCTTTTCCCAGATTATAGTTTTCAAACATGATGGATAACATAATATTTGTTGAGGCAAATCCAAGATATTTTCTTAATGGACTCAGATCCTTAGAAAGGGCCAAATTGCAAGGAGAAAAAAGACATTATCATCCCTCACCTTATATAAGGGCTTTTCTTTCTGGTTTTCACAAGGCCTCTTTAGCTGAGAGACATCACTTTTGTTATCAGAATGTCAGAATGTGCCTGGCCATTGCTGTGTTTTTTTTTTTTCCTTGAGCAACAAAGCTTCATGTTATCCTCAGAACGAATGTTTCTAGTGCTGAAGTCTTACGTCTCTCAGTGTTCATAGCACGGACCAGTCTTTGGCTTGTAAACTTCTGTTTTACTCGGGATCATAAAAACAAAAATAAATTCCCCATAATTTTTGGAATGGCTGACATATTCTGTGTTGGTTCACTAATGAAGATAACATTAGTCATATTTTCCTTTGTGGTGAGAAACTCATGAAAAAAATGTGCCTAGTGGGCAGGGAAATGAGGTCTTTCGTGCAATAGCAAGTTCATAAACTTTAATAAATGTTCTTCATATATGACCAACAAATTTCAGCAAATTTATTGTGAAAGTTGCATAAACTTCAGCCAGAAACAGTACTTTAAGGTTTTATTAACATATTTTTGATACTTAGGCAGTGCTAGAACAAAAGCAGTAATTTTGTGCAAAGGGACTCTACATAGCTGAAACATTTAACAGTATTCCACTCACTGTTTTAGAAGTTTAGTATTTATAAAAAAAATGCAGTTATCCAAAAGAGATCAAAATTATTTATTCCCTTCTCCTGCCTATTATGAGGTATTTATGAATAAGTAATATAGTACTGCTATAGTATTTGGAACAGCTTCTTAACAAAGATATGCACGAAAAATAGCAGTGTTCTTTTAGATCCTTAGCACACTTTTCTTAAGTCAGATGAAAAAGCTGTGATATAAATAACTCAAGAACCTTAAAAGTTGATTTTTATAGAAGGGTTGCTCTCAACTTGAAGTGATACATAAATCTTGCAAAATGATTCCATGAGGCTATAAGTTATCATTGTACCATATAAATACTATAGCTGCATTTTGTTGTCTGCTGCAGATCCAGCTTCTCTTTATGTGAAGCATGATCAAAAGTAATCTGTAGGCTGGTTTTGCTTGACTGCATATAGAGATCTTGTGCTACAGAAAGAGACATTTTGATTTCTTGGATATTTTTTTCACATGAGTATAGTTTTTATTCTGGCTTCATCACACTGGCAAGAGTTGGCTTGTGATTTATCTCTGGGAAAGCTGTTAGTTTTCTTGACATTAACACATCTTTATCTCCATATATTTTCTGCATACTAAATAATGCCTAAGGAATGACTTCATTTGTTACTGGCATGAAGCAGGAGACATGAATTTTAATAAAAAAGAGATCTAAATAGATACATTTAAAATAATAATAAAAAAAGGTTAGAATGAAGATGTTTCAAAATTTGAAGGAAAAAGTTGACATTCCTCTCTAAATCATCCAGGAAATGATACTTTCTTAGGTTTGAGACATTATTAGCTAAGCCTTTCTCTTTCTAGTAGATAAAACCTGATGATTTTATAAGATATATTTTAAAGTACATTCCTTAACAAACAGAATGTTTACAGAATCCCATGCTAATTCTGGCACAGCTGTCTAAAATACTGCAGTATTCTGCAAATGAGAACCAATTTATTATGATGTGAAGAGATTTTAAAATGACCTGCATCAACTTTATGCTACTACAGAGGAGCTCTTTCTGGTGTCATTACTTAGATGCCAAGTACTAGTTTGTCCTACTCTAATAATAATAATAATAAAATAATGATTTATTGTTATACTACTTTCTTGATGAATGGCTTTGCTCTTAATATTTATCTTTTTTTCTTTATGATATGCAATATTAAAAGAATTGTAAACCTACTCAAAGCTCTTCAGTAAGCACAAGAACCATCCCTAATAAATTTAATTATTTATATAAAATTTATATTTATATTCACATTTATATAAATAATGTTTATCCTGGAGAGGAGAAGATTGAGAGGGGATCTTATCAACATGCACAAATGACCAGAGGGGAGAATGTAAAGAGGATGGGGCCAAACTATTATTGGTGGTGGCCAGTGACAGGATAAGGGGTAATGGGTGTAAATTAAAACACAGGAAATTTCATCTCCATGTGAGGAAGAACTTCTTTCCTGTGAGGGTGACAGAGCACGGGAACAGGCTGCCCAGAGAGGTTGTGGAGTCTCCTTCCCTGGAGATCTTCAAAACCGCCTGGATGCCACCCTGTGCCACGTGCTCTAGGTGTCCCTGCTGGAGCAGGGGGTTGGACTAGATGGTCTCTAGAGGTCCCTTCCAACCTCAACCATTCTGTCGTTCTGTAATTCAGAGTTGAAAACAGTAGTCATGTAAAATTTATGTTTTTAAGAAAAGTCAATATATAATTTGTGTTAAAAACTTTGAAAACAGCTTCTGAATATATGTGATTATTTAACACCTTTTTATAATGTACTATCTAATCTAATCTACAGCACTAATCTGCTGTAACATAAGCAGTTGTGTAAAGTATTCATATCTATTAGGGGATCAGTTACAGCTGAAGTCCTTGTGCATTCTTCAGTGTCGGCTTTTCAAGTAACTGTTCTTTATTGTGAAGTGCAGGTTAATGCTGACCAGCTTCAAATGGGTAACAGGTAGCATGGCACTTTTGATGAATTTCTGTAGAGCCAACTGTTGTCCTCCTCCGTGTTCTTCACAAATGGGGAACCCTGACTAAATACTGCTTTGATGCTTACTGGCCTCTTGCAAGCCAGCTAGCAATATCTTCGCTGTGCTTTAGGATCGAGGAATAGGGAGTGCACATATCTTATGCTTTTTGCATTGCTTTTCCAGTTTTCCAAGCTTCGGATTTTCCTAGTTTCTCATCTTTCTTAACACTTTGAAAAACTGCTTTGTATATTCTGATAAATATTTGCTGTTTTTTTGCATGCAGATTATTCAAGACTTCCAAATGATTTTCTGAAACCAAAGCCTGTAAATAATGTCTTTGCCTTGAAAATAAATACCAGCAGTGAAGTTATACTTCAAAGTTTATGCTGGGTAGTGTGAAAAGAAGAACTTATAGGCATGCTGTTTCAACCATAAATTGTAGTGTTTTTAATATATCTCATTTTTTATTTAGTACTCTTAGATGTGCCTATGCAGTACTTCAGCAGTTTTCTGGTGAAATTTTGTAGGTCTTTGAAAATTAGAATTTCTTGTTTATAACCTTTGAATAGATACACACTAGAGAAAGCCTTAACTGCTGAGATAAATTACAGGGCAAGCTAAACAATTTGTAAAATAATTTTATAAATTATGAAGTTTTATATAAAACTTGAGTTGAATAAAAAAGAGAAACTATGCACAAGAGGGCAGCATAAGCATTCAGGTTGGGTGAAGTTCTTTAGATTGAGATCTGGCAATCTGGACAAATTTTGAGAGCAGTATGGGTCAAAGGATGTTCATTGTGTTTGATATTTGGATAATTTTAGTTTCTAAATGAGTAAGTTAGTAATTTGAGTTTCTGTCTTTTGAAGCTTTCCCTTTGCAAGTTCCTATTTTTTTTTTCCCTTGGGTTACACCAATATACTGATCAGACAACTGTCTGATTCTTGCAGAAACTCCTTGTTAATAAGAGATTATAGAATATGGATTTTTAAGCGGGTACTTATCTTGCTTAATTTTTAAGCAGGTACATATCTTTTCTGATGGGGCAGTCCTGCAGAAGCTGCTATAGTGGCAGTTTTATTGTGTTCTTACAACAGCAGTAGCTTAATAATAAAAATCAAATGAAGGAAAAAAAAATGTATTGCAACGATATGAAAGATCTTAAATGGCTTTGACAGTCTATTTCTTAATATACCACATTGAATTTTATTACAATGTAACATACTCAAGTTCTCTCTTCTTTTGAGTAATATTGTATTTTTGCTTAAAATTTTTAATTTATTCTTCTAAAATATGAATGTCTGTAAAAGATATATCTATCCTTTACCCTTATAATTGTTACAACTTTTTTTTATGAACTCCATTGTAACAATGGAGGAAATGCAAATGCATGTTATTATTCAGGTAAAATAACTTAACATTTCTTTGACCTTTTTTAATTTTGTGAATGTTAATTATGAAAATGAGATAATATTTTCAACATCTAGTGGAAGAAAAAAAATGCTGAATGATTTACTACTACCTATTGTAATCCAACCACTTGAAGCATATATTTAAATTATATTTTATTATTTTGTATAATTACATTAAAACAATACATTTATCTCTGGAGAAATGTATAAATGTAAGAAACAGACTTTGTGATATTTCTATTATTATTTTTATTAGGTCATGATGGTGCAATTAACTCTGTTGGTTGGAGCCATGACAAGAAGTGGTTAGTTTCTGCATCAGAAGACCAAACTTTAAGGATTTGGTCAGTCTGCAATAAAGAACCTGCCCTACTTCTGGTAATGAGAAACTCATGTCAGCTCGTTCAAAGAGGACACTTTTGCATTTTAATCTCTTTCTATTTTAATGGGTCTGTAGAAGGAACTGTAGAAGTAGCCTTTCAGAGCTACTGAATTACAGTGATTGCAGCTGATACTACGACCTAGGTGGTCATCACTGACTGCAAAATTAGGCTTTTTATCTTGACAGTTTGTGAAAACAAAAAATCTTGGTTGCTAGGCCTTCTGGGTATATCTGGAAGTTTTGATTTAAATGTCTGCTCGATATTTTCTATTTTCATTGGCACAGCTCTGCTTGACTTTACAGTCTATTTCTTATTTCCAATGAAAGTGTAGTGTATGAAGAAAGACATTTTAGACTCAATTGACTGCAGGTACTGTTAAAGTGCTGCCAATTAATTTAAACAGAATAAAAAAAAGTCTTGAGATTAATAGACTTGGAAAATATATAGGGCCACTACATAGTAGGTTAACCTTTTGGCATGTGATCAGGGTTACAGATACATGGAGATCACATCTTAGTCCTGGTAATTCAGACGAAAAATGTTCAATATGCTGGAATCTATTCTTAATTATTTCCTTTGAATTTCAGGGTAAAGACAAGTTCCATAAATCTGTACGCTTTGCACAGTTTTATTATATAGATACATTTATATTGCTGTGTTGTGGAGCTGAATTTCATCTGTTAAGTTTCTACCTTGACACAGTGAAGGATGACCTAAAACGGTGAGTGACATTTCTCTTTAACAGAGCAGTGAAAATACGTGTACTATGCAATTTTTTTCTTTGCTTTTAGCGGGTGGTGAGAGTGAAGGGGCTATTTTAGCAAAAATATTAAAGGGTAAAAGTATGATTTGAACAAATAATATACGCATTAAAAATATATTGGTTCTGTCATAGTAGAATAAATAAGTAATGCCAGATATTTCTTATGGTGCATACCTTATCTGGTGAAAATACGTGTTTTTATATTTTTATATATATATATATATATATATATGCGTAATATGTATATATACATATTATTTTACTCTTTACTACTTCAGTATTACTGTTAAAATTTTGCTTTTTGAGCTTTGCTGTATGCTTGTTCACACCTTAGCATATGTTAATGTCTTAGTTCCTTTGGAAGAGCTATTGAAAATCCTTCTCCTCTCGAAGTTTTCACATACTTCTTTCATGCAACATAGTGTGACTGTTTTCTTCCTTGCTCCCTCAAATAGATCCCTCATTTTCACCGAGTTTGCTTGTTATATTTTATCTACTTACTTCTTTTATTAACTTCTCTTGTCCCTGTATTTTGTCATTATCGGACATCCTTCAGGCACTTCTAACTGACATTGTTCTGTTTAAGTGTCTCTGTCTTTCTGCTTTGAAATCAGTCCTTTTATTGAATGTCTGCTATACCTTTTCTTATCTATGAGTTTATAATTAGAGCTAAAACTGTCCTTACATCCTTTTATTTGGTTTCAATGCTCTTTATATGTTCTTACTGTTTTTGGCAATACTTTTGTATATGTGAACTTAATTAAAATATGCATATATATATATGTGCATTTGAACTCAATACTCTTTACAAAATTCTTGAAGAGATATATTTTTTTCCTTCAAGTTACCTTATCAATAGGAACTTTGAGTGGAAGTACAAACAGAATTAGGGTTACGATACTCAAGTCTATTCAGTAACTCAAGTTACTGTGAGTTGTGTATTTGTTCATTTTATTCTATTGTATTGGGTCACATTCTGAGGTGGGGGAAGGCTGTCCTGTTTCCTTGCATGGTTGACAGCTGTTTATAAAAACATGCTGAGCATAAGCTTAAATGCTTTCCTGAGCTGAAGCATGAACTTGATAGGGGGAAGTTTACTAAAACTTTAACCTTTAATGTCACACAAACAAACAAAGAGGAAGCTGCCAAATGATATCATTTCTGTAAAATACAATTTTTTTAAGAACAGAAGCTTTCTGTTATTTGAAAAAGTACGTATTGTGTTATTATGATCATCCAGTTTAATTATTGATTATAAATTGTTTAACATTTAACCACTGATTGTTGTTTTCAAAACCCTGTCACCTGCTTGGTTTCATAATGAATCCATTTGAAAGTGGTTCCTTAATTTTCATTTCTGGTCAAAATCCTTAATGGAGTGAGTTGCTATGGCTCTTATTTATGTGATTTTAGTCGTCTGCTGTCTTTGGAATGGGAATATAGTTAATACAATGGAAAACTATATGCTAAGGAGTGCAGAATTTCCTGCTCTAATTTTCTAGTATATACATTACATTAGAAAGGTAAAACTATTAGAATATAATGAAAAGTAAATAATAGAATAAATACACAATTTCCTTTGAAAATATATTTTTTCTTCCCTTTGGCTGTCTTGACTGTTTTTTTTTTTTTTTTAATATTACAGATTGTTTAACCTGTAGAAAGGGCTACAAAGGATAGGAGGAAACTGGGAGGTTAGGGAAGGTGATTCCAGTTATGCTTGAAATCTGTCCATAGCATAAGTAAATGATATTGGGAAACTGACACAAGCAAGCCTTTACCCGTACCATACTTAACTCATAAATAACAAGGAATCATGGAGGAACTTTCCAGAAAGAAGATATAAATTAATATTCTGGCCTTTAATTCCCTGCTATGTTTATTACTTTCCTTTTTTAAAATTTAAAAATATTAGTTAAAATATTTCTTCCATTCTATTTTTGAGAGCTTTGTACAAGTTTCTTGTGGCGTGTATTGTACCAGCTCTAGATATCTCCATATTTCTTCTAGGAATCACAGGTATTCAGTAACTGGAAGAGCAGGCATACTGTACTTACTGTTGAAAAAGACTTGTCTAAACTACCTTGAAAGTAGTTCTGATGCTACAAGTAATTTGGAACTTGATATAGTTCCTATAGAACCCATCCAAGCAGTTTTGCATGGTCTTGGGCACTGAACTTTGGTCTGTCCTGCTCCTGTTACTTTTTTCAAATGTGTGTTCATCTAGTTGAAGGCTCTTCAAGTACATAGGGTGCTTATTTTTCATATTTTCATATTCTCAGTATTCCTTGATGGATTAACTCAAAAACATACTGTTAAATTGTCTAGGATATTAATATAATGCCAAAAGACCACACATACAATTGTAGACATTACAACAAATCCACAACCCAGTCTGAGGCCTGCTTATATTAAAAAAAAAAAAAAAAAAAAAAAAGTATTAACAAAGGTTAATTCGCTTTGATGTTTTCTTGTGGCTTCCCTCCAGTTTATTTCCCAGCATTTCTTTTATGAAACACTGTGTCATTACTTTTGTTTCTCACCACTCTCTCATTCTGCATTCTGAGTCAAGTTTGAAAGACTTGAATGGAACTGATTCAAGAAGATATTAGATTGAACAAAAAAGAATGCTTTTTTTCTCTTAATTAGAGGAGCATTGCGATGCATTCTGGCTAACTGACGAATTACCACTCTGATTCTGAAGTGAAGACAATACAATGACAGTATCAGTGCTTCTCTGTGCAGTTTTCAAAGAGCTTTTTTATAAGAATAAATTAAATAAATTTCAGGACCACTTAATGAAATGGTTAAATATTGATTCATTTTCAAATGTGGACTTGAGAAGTGGAAATGAGAAAAAGAATGTTCTTTTCAAACGTCATAGAGGATATTTGTTGCAGTTCTGGCAATAGAATCCAGATCTCCTGTGTCTATGATTAATCTCAAAATGATTCACTCTCTAAACAATTTTCTTTACATTCTTCAAAATCACTGATTATTATTTCTACTGTTTTCATCAACAATTATGTGTGCTGATATGAAGACTCTGTTTGCTACTAAGTTTACTTTCTCTGTATTTCTTAATTATTTTTAAATGCTATAATAATTTGAGGAGCACAAAACATGACACTTTGTCATTTTTGTAGTCAGCTTGAGGTGTTATTTTAAAGATCAGAATGAGTAATATGAAAGGAGTTTAAAATGCAGAAATGGTTTTAATAGTGGAAACATAGCCTTTTAAAACAGTATATTTAGAAACAGATTATAATAATTATACACACATACAAAATGATAATTAATGCTAAATATCCACTCTGAGGAACTGTGGAGCGATACCAACACATATTATAGATGAATAATGAAGAGGCCGTCATTAGTGGGCTTAAAATTTAATGTGCCGAATTGTTCATTTCGGGTACTTTCATAATGTTAATATTTACAGGATCATTATTTTGACGTAAACCACTTAGATAATCTAAATTTCTTAAATAAATGGACTCCACAGACCTGATTCAGTGTTACGAAACTAAGAATATTCTAAGTTTATTTGCTGTAACCTTTTACCATTCATTCAGAAAGCTTAAATACAATTTATTTTTTGTCAGAAACAGAATGATCACTCAATGAGAAGTACCTGAATAGTAAGATGAACTCTAACAATGTTAGAAACAGCTGCCATCTCTAAATGCTTTAAATTTTCGTATGCATTTCCTTTCCTATTACTAAGATTCATTACATTTGGAGAGTTTAGGAGATAATATTTTGCAATTGTGACAAATTCCAAGCCTTTTAGAAAATAGTGGATTTTTTCCCCCCTTTTTATGAAAATACTTTTCTTACTTTTATTGAGTTCAGGACTATGTCTTTAAATTTATAATGGGATTGTTGCTCAAAGGTTAATTTTTACAGCTCATATAAAAATGTTTGTCATGTCCTGAAACCCTATGATTCTTTTTTATGTTTATGGTGTTTGGATGGTGTTTGATTTGTCCTTTAGTTTTGGCTTTGATGTTGAATGCTGCTATTTTCCTTAAGACTTTAAAGGTTGGACTTATATCAAGCTGGATATTTTTCCTTGGATGCCTGTTCTTGCAATTTTAGTATAGTAAAATATTCTTCCAGTTGTTTTGCCTACCATGAAGGTGTTGCTACTTTACCTCTGGGTCATCAGAAAAATGCTTTTGGTGAAGGTCTTCAAAACTCCTAGAAAGTAGATATATCAACCTCTGCAATCATGTCAGGAAATGTTCATATCCTAGAATACATTTTACCTGTTGATTCTGAAGGTATGTTAATCTTCTGAAAATAGTTAGCTGCTGTAAATGTATTCCCCCACAATGATTACATGCCAAAAGCATGGGCTTTGCAGATTAGTCATTTAGCAATCATGTTGGCAAAATTGTAATTGAAGGCATTAAAAGAAGGCAGAAGTGTAGTTTTGTCTTTCACTGCATTTCTTCTGGACATTCTACAAAAAGCGGAATTAGTTTTGCTGTTGGCATGCTAGAAAATGGCCAGACATGAGAGAGATCTTTATCCTTGTTTATTTTATTTTATTTTATTTTGTTTTATTTTCAGAATTCATTTCTGGTGGGGAAAAAATGAAGCCTTTCTTCTTTCTTTTTGAAGATTTGTTGTGTTTTTCATTATCATCTCCTCTGTTATACTTACAACACAACCCTTGTTATATCCATAGAAATCAGTTCCTGTAGATTGTCTTGCAGTGAAAAGCATAGATCTTTAGTGCACCTTCTGACTCATAGATTTAACTTCAACAGTTTAAAAAGCTTTATCTATGTGCATTCTTGATATACATTACAAAACCCTCTGATCTTTACTGACTTAATTAACCCTTAATGAGGGTTAATCCCTCAACAAATTATTTGTAAAATGAATAGTTATCTCTTCTAAAGTAAACAGGAAATTATTTTATATGAAAATGTAGACTCTGCACTTTTTGCTTAAGTTTCAACATTTTTAATCCTAACATTATGTTTTTACATGTTGCAAATGAGCTTTCATATTGGGTCTGTTTAAATTATGCAATACCTTCCTTTTGTGATCGAAGATTATCTACAGATTATCTAAAATCATGTTGCCTCTTTAACCTTAGTTTATGGAGGTGTTATTAAAGCGATGAAAGGTACACAAATTTGTTATATAAACTTTAGTCTCTAACAAATAATAATATTTTTCTACCAATGTATACAGTGTCCAGCTCAGTGAGTCCACAGTGCCTGTTATACCTGAAGGGCTTAAACAGATTGGCTTTCTTCTTCTTCTTCTTCTTCCTTTTTTTTTAATTTTTTTATTCTGGAAAAGACCCCTTGAGGTATCTGTGCAGTTGATTTCAG